TATCAGGTTTCTTATTTAGGTCACTTTCAGTGTGCTTGAGAGTTTTGCACTAACAGTTGTAAATACAAACCACAGAGTGCAATTTAGACAATCCTGTGATGTACATTGGTGGTGAATGGTCACCAGTAATTCTTCAGGAAAGGGGGTGTGACCAATTACAGTTTATTTTTTTCAATGGTCTGGTTCATCCTTAGAGCAGACAGGGGAGGACTCTTTCTATTTCTTAGCTTTTCTGGATCCATGGCTGTTAATTTCACATCATGTGGGTAGCATTCGTTTCCTGCCATATACAACTTTAAACGTGGGTTGCTGTTGGCCAAGAGATAGTTATTAACACCACTGGTCCCCCCAAACATTAATTGTAGCCAGTGTGTATGTGTGTGTGTGTGTGTGTGTTGGTGGGTTTTTTTGCTGGTGGCTTTATGTTGCCCATATTTTATCTTCTATTTAAAGTAAAAGAATGAAAGGGGCACCTGGGTGGTTCAGTCAGTCAAGCATCCACCTTCAGCTCAGGTCATGATTTCACAAGTTTGAGCCCCGCATCGGGTTCTGTGCTCACAGCTTGGAGCCTGGAGCCTACTTCGGATTCTGTGTGTCCCCCTCTCTCTCTGCCCCTTCCCCACTCTCTCTGCCCCTCCCCCACTCGCACTCTGTCTCTATCTCAAAATAAATAAACATTAAAATTTGTTTCAGAAAATTAAAAGAATGAAAAAGAGGAAGCTTGGGTTGGGAAAACAGGCTCCTAAGTTTGAAGCTTGCCTCAAATCTATACTGGCTCCTACACTTAGACTGGTGACTCCTGCATGATGACTGTGAATTGCTTCCAGCCACCAGGTGCTGGGAGGAGGCTTCAGCATCTGAACATCTATTGGGCATTCTTGTTAAAAATGTCAGGATAGAGCTTGCACATTCTCAGCCATCCCTTATGTCTTGCTGGGCAGGGAAAGGGGACTGGTGGTATTGGGTAACTTTTACCTCTCCTGGTAAATCAGAGTATGTTAGTGTAACTTAAACGTTAGTCCACTTTCCTTGTATGTATTTTCCGGTAATGATTTTTCAACCTATCTTTACATGAAGATTAAATTAGATAATATAAAGCATTCAGCATGTTGGTATGCACTCAAATGATTCCACATTTTGAGCTGCTGTTATTATTTTGATTATTTTCAAGGAAAAAGAAGAGTGGTTGCTTGAGTTATGTTTCCTTGGATTATCTGTGGCTGAGCTTGTGTTTTACCCTTTGGAGAGAGGAGGGGAGGAGAAGGGAGATTGTTCCTTCTCTCTTCCCCTCTTCCATAACCTGGAACTATAGAATTAACCACCACTCAGCACAGTAAAGGAATGGAGGGCCCTCTAGCACAAATCTATTGAAGACCCTGAATCAGAGAGTAAGGGTCCCTTCTGTTGTGGCTGTAAGGTGACCATGACTGGCTGAACTTCACACCTGTCTCCACATCATCCCTTAATCTCGGTGGCCCCATGCTTACTTCCCCACCTGCAAGCCTCCAAAACTGATTTCTGGGTGACTGAGTCTTCCGAGGGCCCAGGTTTGAGTGGGGTCCAGAACTTTGCCTTCCCAGGTGGTGAAAGGAAACAGAGAGACATGCCAGCCTCACAGCTGTGTGAGGACTCTGTGATGGCGGGTAGTGGGGGGCAAGGCCACAAGGAAGCCCCGCCAGTGTGCCTCCCGAAGCTTCAGGTCAGCATCTTCCCCCCCACCAGCTGAGGACTGTCCTGCCCTAATTAACTTCCCTGAGACACAAGACCCTGTGATCATTTTCACCTCCAATGCTTTTTTCCACTGGCTTTTCTTTCCCCTCAGCTTTTTTTCTTTCTTTCTTTCTTTCTTTCTTTCTTTCTTTCTTTCTTTCTTTCTTTCTTTCTTTCTTTCTAAGCAAGGGCTTGATTTTGCATCTTGTTAAAAGTAAGAGAAAGCTTTGACAATAAAAATGTTTTTCTTCGCAAAGCTGTGAGAGTTCTATTCATTCTGGGATTACTTAATTCTCATGACCTTTAACAAGACAGCACTTCTGCACAGTTAGATGAGATAATTGATTCTAATGGGGAAAGGAGCAGTGCTCATTTAACTGCATATCTCTGAGTCGTCCTCCGTTCAAACAATTTCTCCATTACCTTTGGAGTTGCCAATATATAGATTAAACTGGTAAGACGGTAAGCAAAAATGGGAGCTAATTCAGCCTTGGAAACAGCAGAGTTTTCACTTCTTCCAGGCAAGTTAACTTCTATCATTATTGACAACTACACCACCACGAGCAGCATAAAGGTCCTCCTCTTTTAATGCCCAGGACCAAAAATATGCTAAGTGGTAGCTGCTGTTTTATCATTATCATCAACAGTATGAGTATAATGGTTACAAAATACCGCCATCATGCGTATGTACGGTTTACAAAGCACTTTGCCATATATTATCTCATATGATATAGTAATTCTTTGAAATAATTGCCTCTCCATTTCTTGGATGCATCTAGGTGGTGGCAGCTAGGATTCCAAACCAGTCTTCTTACCTCTGGCACACACTGTTCCCCGCTCGGCAGTAACCAGAGAGAGCAAAGGGTCAGATTCCATTTCCATTACAAAGTACCCCTCCTGTTGAGCTCAAACTTGTGTGCGTTCCCCGGGTGGCTTGTGTTTTGGACTAGAAGTCTGAAGGATGTGCAGCTCTCGTGTCCTTTATACAGTTATTTGTGCCTTGAAGGTGCCCACACAGCCCTTCAAGACCCCCCCACCAGCCCGTCAGTGAACCCTTCCACGGATGGGCCAAGCAATACAACCCTCTGTCCTCCTCACAGGATCCTATGTTACAGCCCCCAAAGCTGCTCCATGTGTGAAAGGGGATGTTTTTGTAACACCCACTTGCCTTGCAAGGTAAAGCTAGTGAGAAAGGCTTGGTGAAGTGGGTGGAGCCTGGGCTTCAAGCCAGAAAGACTGGTGATATCTGATTTCAGTGTTTGAATAGTTGCAGATTCTAGTCTACACTGTGTCGCTCACGAGCCATTTAACCTTGCCTGTGTTAATCGATGTCGTTGTGTCTTAGTTTCTGCATCTGTAAAATGGGGCTATTACTAACTGTCTTTTCAGGATTTTTGTGAGAATTAAGGAAGTATTGCATTTACTGCTTTTAGCACAATGCCTGGCACTCAGTTTTATAACTACCTTCTGAGCTTTAGCGTGCACATCTGCAAGTTGGGTCTCACAGGGCTGCCTTGAGGTTTAGATGCAATGTATACAAATTTCCCAGTGCGCTTCCTGGCATGCAGTTAGCCCTCAGTATACATAATTACTGTGGGCCTTCATAGTTCCATAGATCCTTCCCTGGGTTCCTCTGGCCCTCTTAGTGGGCCAGTCACCCCCTCCTCTGGGCCTTCTAGTCCTTCTGAGTAGACTTTGTTCCTTGTCCATCTTCTCTACTTGTCTGTGAGCTCATGGAAGCAAGGGCTGTCTGATTATGTTCTGGCTTTCCAGAGTCAGCCCTGGGTCCCAGTACAGGGTAGGCTTCTAGAAAATATTCATCAGTACAACAAAGGAGTGATGTTGCATACAGGATGCTGTGGGAGTCAGGAACTGAAGTTCTTAACTCTCTGCGTAAGGAATCAGGGCAGGCATTTCAGAAAAAGTAAGTAGGGACCATTGACAAGTCTTAAATCCTGAAATGGGATTTAAGCAGACATTTTGTACTAGATTACAAAATCTTTTGGAGACAAGTTTCCTCACCTTTTCAAGCACTGTGTATGTTAGGGGACAGTGTCCATTCTTTGGCGTCTTATGGTCTCTTCTAGATTGTTGCACAAGACCGTTTAGCAGTCACTACCTTGGAAAAAAATATGTTTAAAACAGAAATGCAAGTACATCCTACAAAATCAAAAAGTACAACAGATATACAGTTAGAAGAAAATCTGTCTTCTATCCCTGACCCTTAGGATCTCTTTCCATCATTGGATGCATCTACTGTTACCAGTGTCTTTCATATCCTTCAGGAATATTCTAAACATATACATGATTTTTCCCCCCAAAGGCAGTATATCAGATATACCATTCTGCATGTTACAATTTTCCTTTCAGAAAAATATAAAGAGCTTCCATGTGCTTTTTTATGATTACATAATACATTGTATGAAGGTAACTTATCTGGCCCCTTATTGATGAAGTGGTTTCTAATATTTTGCTACTACAAACAGTGCTGCAGTGAATAACCTTGTATGTACATCATTTAGTCTAATATGTGAAAATATTTGGAGGAGAAATTTCTAGAATTTTCTAGAAACCCTGGGAACCTCTAAATCCCAGGATCAGTAGTATGTTTGTTATTAATTTGATAGCTTTTTTCAAATTGTCCTTCATAGCGTTTGTACCAACTTATGCTCTTACCAACGAAGTATGAGAGTGCTTATTTCCTGTTCTCTGTCAATACTGTATAATTTTAACCTTTTTTATCTTTGCCAAAGCCTATGTGAAAAATAGTATTTCAAAGTTTTAACTTACATTTCTCCTATGATGAGTGTTGTCAAGAGTCTTTTCATATGATTGAGAACCAATTGTATTTCTTATTCTGTAAGCTCTCTGCTCATAGTTCATATCATATTCCTATTTTCCTGATGAGCTGTTGGATTTTGCTTATTATTTGTAGCAGTTATTTTTATATTAATGAAATTAACCCATTGTGCTACAAATTGCAAAATTTCCCCCTAGATTATTTATCTTTCAAAGCAAAAGGCCAAGGCTTCCTGAAACTCCCCCATCCCTACCCCTCTCCCTGTCCCACCAGACTGTGAGCCCTCAGGGGCAGGGTCTATGCCTTGAGCATCTCCATGCCCAGCCCCCCACATAGGCTTGGCACTGCAAAGCTGTCTTCGGGGGCTGTTTGTTGAGCTGAGCTGAACTGAATTCCTGAGTTCCCCACCCCAGCTGCCCTCCCCTATGGCTTGGGAGTTCCATTTCCTCCTCCAGCAGAAAAAGATGACTTTTCTCATTGCTCACCACAGCCATGCACCTGTTTGGCCTAAACTGGCACCTGCAGCCGATGGAGGGGCAGATGTATGAAATCACGGAGGACACAGCCAGCAGTTGGCCTGTGCCAACGGACGTCTCCCTGTATCCATCAGGGGGCACTGGGTTAGAGATCCCTGACAGGAAAGGCAAAGGAGCCACAGAAGGTAGGGTTGCCGTGTTGTTCGTGTCGTGAGTCCTCTGTGTCTGCCTTTGAACCGAAGAGACCTTCATTATGCACGTCATGTGCCTGACTCACAGCTCCGTGCTTTGGCCCTTCCTCCATCTTTCTGCACTCCACGCCGGCTGCCAGCCCACCTGTGTCTTCATCTCAGTTCCTTGTCACTGTGAGCTCATAGCGGGGCTTGGGCAGCTCTCATGGTGCTCAGCGGTATCCCATCTCATGCCTCGAGGGAAGCATCATGGGCTTTCGCACTGCTGGGTGGCTGTCTTGGATTGTGTGGGATCAGGATGAGTCCTTAAGGGGCCAATAACAATAATCATTAGTGTTTGTACGGTTTATTTATTTCAAAGATTTTGTCAAGAGCTTTTTACACTTAATCCTCACAGAGATCCTGTGAGGTAAGTATGATTCTTTAGACCCATTTTAGATACAAAACCTAAGGGTTACATTAATTTAGTGACTTGACCAGAGGTCGCTCAGCCAGTAAATAATGGAGCTTGGCATATGAGCCCAGGTCTGGATGACTCCAGAGCTCTTACTGTCTCTATAAATTGTCCTACCTGACTCACCACATGGTTACAAGACCCTGAAGGAGATGTAGATGAGAAATCCCATTATGCAGTGGGACACAGATATTTTTCTATCAGTGATGGAGTGGTAGTGACATTTGGAGTTTGGCATTCTTAAATGGGACATCTGTAGACCCATGTTCTGAATTTCTTAAGGGTCTTTCTAACACGCCATTGACACACATTCTTTCACTATCAGCCAGAAGTGGCACAGACTCACAAAAATGGTACCGTGAAAGATGGCTGAGCTAATGCGCCAGTCTCATTGCCATTCTGGGCAGCGTAGGCATTCTTTATCCTGTCCCTGCTGTGCCCTGCTTCATCTCGTCTGTTAGCAAAGTGCACCACAGGTCTGCCTCCACCTTTACTGCCTATATCTTCTTTCCTAGCATCTCAGACAACTTTGGGATCAAAGCTTCTGAGGTTTCCTGCCCTCAAGGATTTCCCTTCCAGGAATCTGTTTGGTTAACAGGGTACCATATGCTTGGTTGAAGTAGCTACTCAGGACCTCTGAATGATCCTGAAGGCAAAAATCAATTCTTTAAAAAAAAAACATTTATTTTTGAGACAGAAAGACAGAACACAAGTGGAGGAGGGGCAGAGAAAGGAAGAGAGAGAACCCCAAGGAGATTTGCACTTGTCAGTGCAGAGCCTGACACAGAGCTTGAACTCAGAAACCATGAGATCATGACCTGAGCTGAAATCAAGAGTTGGATGCTTAACCAACTGAGCCACCCAGGCACCCCCAACTCTTTCTTTTTGTTTTTTAAATATGGAATGCTTCATGAATTTGCATGTAATCCTTGCACAGGGACTATGCTAATATTCCAACAAAATCAACTCTTGACCCATGGTCATCTTTAAGGGAAGTAAGAATGGGAGCATTTCCACAGAGCCAAATCAGAACCTCTGCCTGCTTTTTCTAGGGGCAATGCCAGTCTTCTCCTTTACAAAGATTTTAAGACTTAAAACATTTAATAATTTATACTTTCTTCGCCCTTTAGTAAGGATATGGAGGGAGTGTGGATAGGGCCACGGAAAGAGCTCTGGGTTAGGAATCAAGAGCCCTGACTTCAAGCCCAGCTGCTGACCCTTGAATTGTCCTTAAGCAAATCCCTTGAAAGACTTTCTGAGTGGGGTGCCTGGTCGGTTAAGCGTCTGACCTTGGCTCAGGTCATGATCTTGCAGCTTGTGAGTTCAAGCCCCACGTCAGGTTCTGTCCTGACAACTCAGAGGCTGGAGGCTGTGTCTCCCTCTCTCTCTGTCCATCCCCCAATCATGCTCTGTCTCTCTCCTTTCTCTCTACCCCTCCTCCGCTTGTGTTCTCTGTCTCTCTCAAAAATAAACATTTTTTTTTTAAAAATGAATTGATTTTGGCCTTCATGATCATTCAGAGATCTTCTCTCTCAAAAATAAATAAACAAAAAAAAGTGAACATGCTTTCAAAAAAAAAAAAAAAAGACTTTCTGAGCTTCATTCTCCTCCTCTCTAAATGGAAGTTATTGAGCTAAATTATCTCCAAGGTCCAGTTTAATTCAAAAGTCCTACATATGAAATTGATAGTAGAATCATCAGACTAACCAGACGGTTCTTTAGAATTTTTTTTCCAGGCCAGCCCTGTCCATGGTCCTGCCTGTCAGCTTGTGATTCCCTTGTTAGTTTATAGTGTCACATGCCATACGGGAATACCATCCATGTGGACGGTCTTTAGGTCAGCACGTACAAATGCAGATTTAAGATATGTTTAACCCTCAAGGCATTGGATGAGGTCTCATTTAGCAAAATGTATTTTCTTCCCTCCATGATCTCTATCAGACATTCTTGAAACAGAGTTGGATCTATCTGAAATCTCCCATTCTAATGAAATTAGTTTGTGGGTTTTTTAGGTTTTGTTTTGTTTTACCCAAGGAGCAGGAGGTGCAGATAAGAGGCAAAATAAAATTGCCCCAGCTTATTGGTTTACTTTAATTGGAGTATTTTTGCTTAAAGGGATTATCTGTCATTACTAATGCAAATGGAAATCCTGTTTACAAGCCCCTAAAATGCAGTGCTGTGCTGGAAAGTGGTCAGCATCAAAAGCAATTACTGTGACAAAAAATACATCAGACTGGAGAAACAGAGGACAAAGCTTCCTACAGTTTATGTGAGACCACATGGTTCTTAATTTCTTTTGCCCTGGTCAAACCAATGTCTACACAGTTCATGTTTTTAATTGTAACGTTAAAAAACCTACTTCCTTAGACATAGCTCAAGGGGAAAAGTCTTTAACACTGATGGGAGTGCATATTTCCTATCCCTTCTAAGGGTATCAGAGAGGAGAGCTGATAACAGAATTAAGATTAGAGCCCTGGTTTACAGAGATGGCAGTAACAATGTGGTATGATGGAAAGAAGATAAATGGGCCTTGGAGCCAGACAGGCTTGAATCCTGGCCCTCAAATTTATTGGCTTTGTTAACTCATGCCAATTACTCCATCTTCTTTGGCCTTAGTTTCTTCATCCATAAGAACAAGGATGGTAACGTCTGTATCTTTTCAGACTGGTGGTGAAGAGGCACTCAACAAATGTCACTTCCTTTCTTCCCATCTGCTCAAATCCCAAGCCATTCCATGTCAGTTATCAGAATCTCAGAAATCCAGACTAAGTAATATTTTCCCCTCGAAGACCCTGCAAATAATTGGGACATTTTTTCATATTGTAAAATGCTATATATTTTTTAATTATGCAAATGAAATATATAATGAGTCCAGTATTTTAAATGCTCATCGTGTCTTTGAGAATAACCCCAAACTGCAATTTACACTGTATTTTCAAAGTGGCTCTTACCATTTCAGGGTGTCATGGGACAGAAACCAAATATGGCAGCTTTTTGAAGAAAAGCCACAATAACTTACGTTATATGTTAATGGAAGAGAGGGGAGAAAGCATTGAATAAACAAAAATTCCTGATGGTTGAATTGGTGGGCTTAGGGATAGCATTTTCTTCTTTCTGCAATGAAATAAAAATTATCCATCAGTTTAAACCATGCAAATTGCTGCACGCAGGCTCAGCTGGGCTCTCCAAAATGGAACAGCTTATTTTGATAACCAAATAAATTTCTAACAGTTGCTAAGGAAACTAACAGATTCTTTGTGCAAGTTATTGCATTGAAAAGAACCAGAAAGGTGGAGGGAAGAGGAGAGTGTTAGTTGATTAGGAATTTAGAACCTGTGTAGAGGGATCTTAGTTCAAGAAACTGAGGACTATGACTGAGAAGGGCATGGAATTTCACTTCTTCCAATTCTCTCTTGTTTGACCAATCTAATCATTTCAGCAAATTGTTGAGAAATTTCTTTTATAGACATGATTGTGTATTTGTACATCATTGCTAGAGGAAGGCTGAGTCTGTGTATCTTTACAAAGAACAGGACTGTTGCCAGTAGAATTTGCCTTGTGAAACCTGATCATACTGTTGGAGATTCCTATTTCTTAGTTAAGCTCTTGGTATTGTTTGTTCAGTCTCTGGTGGCCCCCAATGATTGTGTAGTGTCCTCTTTATAAATGTCTTGAGACCCCAACTCTTGCCCTTTAACTCTGGGTCCTGTTTGTGCATTCCTACTTCATAAAAATTGTCAACTTTCTGTGCCCCATGACACTCAGTGGGCCTTGGTCTACCTGGCCTAGCCTTGATGGTTAGATTGCTGGGACTGTGAGTTAGGTTGGACTCATGCACTGTGCCATTGACCCTTGAGTGAGACTATTGAGAGTGTCTTTGAAGAGTTTTAATTAACCACTTATCAATGTAATGCTTTAAGAAGCCATATTCTAGCAAATGAAGAGAAACCCCAAATGGCTTTATCTTCAAATGGTTTCTTAAGCATTCTGAGCCTCAGTACATACATCTTATCAGTGTGAGAATTAACTGAACCGATGAACGTAAAGGGGGGCCCAGCATGTAGTGAGAGCAAGAATTGATAGCAAGCATTACCACTAATCCTGCCACTTCTACCTTTACTGCTGTTACTACTACTGCTATTATTACTGCTGCTGCTGCTGTTGTCGTTATTATTTTCCAGAATGTGGGTGGGGATAAAAAGAATTGTATACATAAGACCTGTCTCCTCCAACTCCCACCACCCTCTGTCATCTCTCCTCACTCTACTGTTGGTGGGTCTTGCTGTGTGGTAGGATGGTTTCTGTCTTAAGCACTCACAGCTTGGTGCTCGGATTTAAGAACAGAGGATCTGGAAAGAGGAAGGCAGGAAGAGCTGAGTGTGGCTTCACTCTGAATAACTGCTAGCCCGGCCAGTCTCACGCCTCTTTCCCATCAGACACGGGTACTCGCTGTGCTCTACCTCTTTCCCCTCAGAAGCCCCCATCTCGTCCCTACGTATAGTCCTACAAGGGGACCACTGGGGACCAGAGTAGAGGAATGATAAAGCTTAAATCCCCAGATGGGGTCCTCTTTTCCCTCAAAAACATCACCTTTAGGCTGGGCTGTGGTCCCTTCCCTAAGGATCTGGACCAGGTGACTTTTAGTACAAAGGTCACTTTAGTACAAAGCCCGAGTGGCCTTCAGAGACTCAGCCGAGAGTCCAGGTCCCGGTGGCCGGTGTGCCCTGGAACGGAATCAGCTATTTTTATTTGTATACACACCAAAGACAATTCTTTTCTCTTATTTTGGCCCATGTTGGTGAAATACGAGAATGCTAGAAAAGAATATTGCTTTTTATCACTCCTCGGGTGTAAGAGCCAACTTATGTATGCCTCTGGGGCCTGTAGACCTCTGGAGAGAGAGACTCTGGGCTGGCCTCTGACCTTATGAGGCTCAGAACTCAGCTGATACAATAGCTGTCTCTCAAAAACATGCTCACTGGAGGAGAAAATGAACCGTGCAGGGTGCTCTAGCAGCATGCCAAAATGTGGGGGAAAGTTTTCATTATTTATTCTCAGACCCAGGAATTATTTGACTGCAGACAATTCTGAAATCCCATCAGCCCCGACTCCCACCCACTCACAAAGGAAATGAGTCCTTGGAATTAGCAGTCTCAGGCTTATTTCTATGCAGTTTCTAGGAGGAAACTCAGAGTTCTGCATCCCTAGCAGAATGATAAGCTAAAGGGTACACTATTTTTCTACCTAGAATACAAAAGAAGTGTGGTATTGGGAGCCCCACAATCAGATAAGAATGTGAAAGTAATTCTCCTCTATCTTAATGTGTTGTGAATTTGGCTTCTGTCTTTGAACTTTGAATCACAGTGTGGTGGTTTTTGTGTGTCTGCATTTTCAAGGTAAAAGTCTGGGGCACATTCCTTCCATAAAGGAATTAAATGCAAGCTCTTTCCCATGCTAATGACAGAGTACTAGTGGTACTTTTATTGAGAGCGTGCATTTTAACTTTTTTTGTTGTTGGCATATTTTTTAATTAAAATAACATTTAATGGTTTGAAGCTAAAAACCTGATGTTTCTGCCTAGGAGTTTATAAAGGAATGATAACATATGGAGAAGTTTAACATTTAAATTGAATTTTATTATTTAAAACAGTAAAATATTTTATGACTACAACAATGCCCTGCCAAGCTCCATTTCAGCATCAAATGTGCTTTGTAAGGAATCTTACAAAGCTAGGGGAAAAAAGACATTTTAATTTCTTATTCCCCAAGTGCTTTTTATAAAAAGTTCTCACAAACGTGTTTTCTTTACAAATGGATTATTGTTCTTAAAGCCTCTCTTCGAACACGTCTAACAACAAATCTTGGAACTAAGATACCCTGCGGATTCTTCCTTACAAATAAGACGTAGTCTGCTGGCTGCCATGTGGCTAGTCAGTGTCCTAAAGGTGGTCTTCTAACATCCCTATCACCTCCTTCTGCCGCCTCCCAACTCCCCAGAGGGCTGATGTCTGGAAGGAAGTCAGATTTATACTTTTCACATGTGAGTGTGCTTAATTAGTAAACAGAGGAAGTTAGATAAGTTGTCTTCCTTCCTGGCACTTCTGGTGCCCCCAGAAAGCTGTCACTCTCCTGAATGGTGACAGAAATGGGCAAGGGACCATATTCCTGACCCCCGTCCCCTGAAACCTGCAGGGTCAGGGGCCTTGGTTGAATTTCCAAGTATGCCATAGGCTTTGTGCCTGAACTTGAGATCAATTCCCTCGGCTTTACCTACTTCAGCACAAAACTGATATTCGAAGACCTCCATCCAAGCAAGACAAGGAAGCATTTTTCAGAAATATCCATTCCATTCAGAAGTACCCCCTTTTTCATCTTCCCCAACTCAACTCCTGCTCCCCATATAAACCCCTTCCACATGTCTTAGCCTTAGAATTTGGCTTCCAATTATACATAAACTAGTAAACTTGTAAAATACCTTCATCCACTCAGGTCAGGCTTCCCACTGCTGGTGGGACCATTTTGAGTTGGAAATTTAATAACAACACCTTGTTCGCACTACCCTTTCTATTTTAGCGTGCATGCTTTTATACACACACGCGTGTGCACAGTTATTCTCGTGTGACCACCAGTGATTATTTTGGGGATCGGAATATATCTTAACAAGCTGTGGAATTATGCAGTATACAGATGGCCCTTGAGGAGGACCCATACTGCTTTGGAAGAATGCATATTTTTAGCAGAACAGTTTGAGCATCACTAGAAAAAAAAAGTTCTGGACATTCTTCCTCCTCAGTGGGGAGTGGGGGTGGGGCTGGTGGTGGAACATAGTAGAGAGAAGTGTGAGGCACAGGGGAGTCCTGCTGTTCAGGGGCTCCGATCCCTTGTTTCGCTTGTGGCCAACTGCTGTTTTTGTCTTCCCTTCCCTGTGTCTTGGTAGGAAAGCCCAGTAGTTTCTTTCCAGAGGACAGTTTCATAGACTCTGGAGAAATCGACGTGGGGAGACGGGCTTCGCAGAAGATTCCTCCTGGCACTTTCTGGAGATCTCAGGTGTTCATAGACCATCCTGTGCATCTGAAATTCAATGTGTCCCTGGGAAAGGCAGCTCTGGTTGGCATCTATGGCAGAAAAGGCCTTCCTCCTTCACATACACAGGTAACCAGAATGCCACATCCCCTGCTGATCTGCAGGGGCTCCTACCTCACATCCTAACCCAAAGTCAGGAAGCCTACTGCTCACACCTGGAGCCTTGTGTTTGAAGGGCATTTTGCATATTTTATAGCCCATTCCTCCATTTGACCTAAGACCCTACCTTTCAGATGAGTAGGGTTATATCCCTGGGGTTTTTTAAGAAGAGGAAATTTTAGGAAATATCTCAAATAGCCTCTCTACTATTACCCAGTCACCTGAGTGAAATTATCCAAGAAATATAGAGAGAAAAGCATGCACTTTGGAGTCCGACAGACTTCAGTTTGAATCCTCTTGTTATCAACTATGAGAACTATGGCCTGGTGCTTACCCGCTCAGAGCAAGTTTCTCATCTCTCCACTGATGATAACAATACTCACTTTGTAGGGCTGTTGAGGAGAATCAAGAACATTTATAAGGCAGCTTGCACAAGATCTGGCTTAGAATACACGTTACTTCCCTGGTCTCTTACATTCCTTCTCTCCTTTGGGATTTCGCATTTACTGTGATACATGCACACCAGAAACACCTAACAGTTCATCTAGGATGATTGACATAACACCAGTCGTAATGGGAAAGGAACAGACTTGTTAAGGTCCTGCCAGCTCTGGGATTGGGTTAAAATAAATCAGAGGCATCCATTAGACATTCCCAAGCCGTGTGCAGCCTTCTTAGCCCCAGTTGTTACTTAAGATTCCCACGTGAAATCTAAGTAGATATATTTTCTAGCAGTGGAGTCATGGGAAAATAGAATCTGGGCCGCTCACCAGGACAGTGATGCTAGTCCTGGACTTCATTCCTGGGCCTCATTTACACATGAAATAGAATTAGATATCTTGGTTTTTTAAAAGATAGGTAGGTCAGTAGGTAGACAGATAAGTAGACAGATAATTGCTCAATTTGCTTGCTAGTAAGACTTAACCACCTACCTGTTGTTAGCACTGTGTGGCTGACTTCTCTTGAGTCTCACGCTCGCAGGCTCGGATCAGTCAGCAGTTGTGTGTCTGACCCAGCATGTAATCGTTGATAGAATTTTGAGCTAATCCAGTTTAGTTCCCCTAAAACTGCTCCCTGAACCTGCAGCATTTAGAAAGGATTGTTGGGGCTCCTGGGTGGCTCAGTCAGTTGAGCGGCCGACTTCGGCTCAGGTCACGATCTCGCAGTCCGTGAGTTCGAGCCCCGCATCAGGCTCTGTGCTGACAGCTCGGAGCCTGGAGCCTGTTTCGGATTCTGTGTCTCCCTCTCTCTGACCCTCCCCCGTTCATGCTCTGTCTCTCTCTGTCTCAAAAATAAATAAGCATTAAAAAAAAAAATTTAAAGAAAAGAAAAGAAAGGATTGTTGACAACAGGAAGAGAGACATCAGATTTGCACTTGCACCTGACTGACTTTTAAGGCACATCCAGTGCTCTAGTCCCAACCCTCGAGCCCTGGGATTCCCAGCATCACTTGCGTGGAGCTGGAGTTCAGTCCTTCAGTGGCTGGGTTTCTGATCACGTGCCCACGATTGGAAGGGCATGGTTATCCCGGCACAGGCTCAGCCAGATGAAGACTGCCTACATATACATCAAATTAAAGAAAAATGAGACCAAAAAAAAAAATAATAATAATAATGCTCTAATTATGCTGCCCTCACAAGGGAATGAGGAGACTATTACCATGAGAAACAGGGGTCTGGGGAGGAGGTGAAGTCGGTTGATCAACCTTCATCTGACTCTAGCCTCTCTGCCTGTCCTCAGGTTGTATTTCCTTGTGTGCCCCCAGGAGACACGTGAGGAAGGAATCTAGCATTATGGTGAAGCAGACACCCCGCTAATTATGCTCTGTTTGTACTTTTAGTTTGACTTTGTAGAGCTGCTGGATGGAAGGAGGCTCCTGACCCAGGAGGCACGGAGCCTGGAGGGACCCCAGCGCCAATCTCGGGGAGTTGTCCCCCCATCTAGTCACGAGACTGGCTTCATCCAGTATTTGGATTCAGGAATCTGGCACCTGGCTTTTTACAATGACGGGAAGGAGTCTGAAGTGGTTTCTTTTCTCACCACTGCCATTGGTAAGGAGCCTCCAGCCCTATGGGGTCTGTGGGATTTCTGCCTCTTTGGGTGAGAGGACCCTGGGGATTCTGAGGGTTGGAGCCAGCAAGGGAATGTGTCTTGCCCGCAGCTGTCGATGCCACCTGGAGTCTGGCATGAGTCCTTCCTGACTGGGCTTGCTGGACAGGGATGGGTTTGGGATTCAGGGGAAGGAGGGAGGGGAGGAGTGACAGGAGAGGCTGGCCAGCCATTCTGGGCCATTACCCACTGCCTTTCTTGTGTCATCTTTGGGCCAGCTGCTGCATTTAACAACTGAGAGGTAGAGTTGACAGCAAGACCGAAACCCTGCCTGACCAGCCACATGGAGGCAACACCCCTCTTCTCACTTCTCTCCGACACCTGTATTTTGTCTTTATAGCTTCCTTGGCTCAACTCACTGATTTGTGGTTTGGGTTTTTGTTTTTGACTGTGTGTAGCTTTTTGTTTATTTATTGTTTTGTCCTGGGAGCTAACAGTCCCTGGCAGTTGAGAAAAGAAGATGAATGCTCAGGGAGAGGGTGAGAATAGCAGAGCTATTCTGGATGAATATTCTGAAGCCGCGATTTTTGGGATAGTGCTGAACACCTTCTCTGTCCCTCATCATGGAAGAGGGCCACAGCTCTCCCTTCAGGGTGAGCCCGTGGGGCCGCCCCACAAGCCGACGGGTGTCCAGGGAGCTTGGCATCTTGTTCTAAGGAATTTCTCTTCTTTATCCACACATTCCATAGAGTCTGTCTCTTCCTTGGATGGCCACGGGACACAGTGGCCTTAGTGGTTCAGGTCAGAAAACATTTATTCTGGGTTTATGTTGGAAGCATTATGACATAGCCTGGAGACAGAATCTCCCGCAGGAAAATAAAACTCCACTAACCAGAATGCATGGAAATAGGGTTTCTGCTTAATGAAAAGCTTTATGTGGTATAGAGTCCACCTCAAAACTCTGTCTCAGTCCTTGGCTAGGAATCTCTCTGACATGGAAAAGGGAGTTAAATAAAAAACCTCTGAATCTGGTCATTGGTTCCTAAAACTCCTGCAGAACTCTGGCTTTTCCTTCTACACAGCAATAATCATTTTCAGGCCATTTTCCCCTCATTTGCAATTTTGCCCTTAGTGTCGAGGCGGAAAATACCTTCCCATTAAATACGGGCATGGCTTATCCACTTCTGCTGTCCCTGCAGGCTCAGTATCCTACCCTCTCGGCAAAATGAGGGCAGCAGAGGCCATCTGGCTACGTCGGCCCCGATGTAGGAAACCCTGCTTTGTGCTGTCCTCGATTTGGAAACGTCTGCCCTAACTGCTGGTCTCCGAGTGTCCAGAGGGCAAGGACTTTGACGTAATCTTCTCTGAGCCCCCAACCCCAAGCCCAGGCCCCGACATGCGGGGTCCCTGGGTTACTAAGGGCGAGAGCACGAGCTTGGCCTGGCTTCTGCTCCGCCTCCCGTTGGCAGGACCGTCAGCAGCCACAGGCCTGGCAGTTGCGGCTGCCGCTGGTTTCCTCCCCTATTGCCTCCTTTTGAGGTGGAGTTGAAAGTATCCTCCGCTCTGAATTTCCACCACTAACTTGTGTTTTGACCCTGCACAAATCACTTAAGTTTTCCAGCTTCCGGTTTCTCTAGAGTCTGGATTTGAGGCCGCAGCTCGGTGGTTGCCGATGAGCTGGAGGCCACCCGGGCAGCCCCGTTCCCCTGTCACCAGAGAGCCAGCTGTGGTCCTCACCATGGATTAGGCTCTCACTCTGCGGGGTTTGCCAGACTCCAAACCTGGTTTCTTTTCCCTTTCTGGCCACAGTGGCTTCGTTTTTAGGGACGTGGATTATCGAGTCGTTAGTGGTACCTGAGTGAGAGCTTCCTGGTCTCACAGCCTGATTTCTCTGAGGCATGGTTCACAAAGAAGCATGGACTGTCTTGCTCGCTCAGAATGAAGATCTCTTATAATCAGAATTCTTTATTTTTAATAACTGAGCATAAATATGAAAGAATATTAATATCGACCCCCAAAGAAAGCCACTTTTAATTAGGATGTGACTCTCAAAGAAGTAAAATGTAGGTGCAGTTAGGTATCTTTGCCAATTCTTGGCTTGTCAGAGCTTGCTAACCTGTTTTGTTATAATTAAGGCCATGGTCTTCCTTTTCCCTCTGGCTCTCCTGTTCTTACCTTAATGATGAAGTCTGCCTTCACCTCCTTAACCCTATGATGTCCTTCAGAGCAGAGAGGCTATCCTGGGCTTCTCAGAGTTTGATGACCCATTTGATGTCTCATTAAAACACAGATACCCCTTCACTAGGTGGGGGTGGGCCCTTAGAGTCTCCATTTCTCACCAGCCTCAGTGATACTGGTGCCGCCCAGCTGTGGACCACATTTTGAGTAGCGGGGGG